CCATCACTAGTAGGTTGGAGGCCATCGCTAATAGGTTGGACGCCATCAGTAGTAGGTTGGATGCCATCAGTAGTAGGTTGGGGGCCACTGCTATTTGAGTTGGAGGCCGCAGTGATTTTAGGACCAAGAGTTGGGCTCTGGGAGTCCTCTGAGTAGTCGATGAGAAAGGGAGAAAGCAAGGGCTGCAATGTTGGGATTTTAATGTAGTAGCTTCTTGTTACTAGTAGTAAGGCACTTGTTACTACTAGCGTGGCACTTGTTCCTAGTAGCCTTTTTGTTTTGGTTGCTCGCTATGGGGTTCTAGGAAGGTTACCAGCAGTCCCCTGGAGCAGTTTTTCTATGGCGGCGAGCTTGGCTTCATTTCGGCAGTAGTTTTGTCTTGGTTTTTTGAGGGTTGGTTGACTTGGCTTGGCTTGAAAAAGCTGGCGCCTCCCCCCAAGAGCAAACCAAGTCAGCCCATCAAAGAGCTACAAACTGCCAACAGCAAAAGAATGTGATCAAAACACAACAAAGTCCACGAGAACCAAAAGCCAAAAGCCGCAGAAGCCACCGAAGTCACAAGCCACAGAAACCACCAAAAGCCCAAAGTCACACAAGCCAAAAGCCACAAACACCAAACAAGCCGGAGTTTCGAAGCCCCAGTCAGAAGCAACACGTGAGATAGAGACTAAAAGCAAAGCAAATCACTCTCCGAAAGCAAGTAGGCGAGACTAGGAGCAAGTAGCTACTAGTAACAAGAAGCTACTAGGAACAAGTGCATCGCTTCTAGTAACAAGTGCCTTACTAGTAGTAACAAGAACGCAAGTAACAAGAAGCTACTAGGGGCTCCTTTAGTAACAAGAAGTAATCAAGTATCCGGTTGCAAATTGGATCGGATGATCGGACCTCGATCCATCTGCGTGAAACCCAGTTTCTTGATCAGCCAGGAGCTACTAGTAGCTTCTTGTTGCTAATAGCAATGGCCTCCACCTAGTAGCTTCTTGCTACTACTAGTAAGGCACTTGTTACTAGTAGCGATGCACTTGTTCCTAGTAGCTTCTTGCTACTAGTAGCACATGTTACATGAGCACACGTGTTTGTCTTCCACGATTGCTGGATGTTGATTTTAGATGCAACGTGATGCACGCAAGGGTTGAAAGCTGAAGAGTGTACTGTGTCACTCTGTGTCACACTGTGTCACCGGCATTTGGTCCTTGACGGAAACAATGTGGTCCAAGATTTTGGGCAAAGCTGTCTCGGCATAGAACTCCATCGTCATGCCTTAGTGGGCAAGGTGATGCGGAGCTGGTGCGGGTGCACCACACGATCCAGATCCTAATAACGATGGCCCGCAGCCTACTAGCAATGGCCTCCAACCTGCTAGCGACGCCTCCACCCTAGTAGCGATGGCCTCCAACCTAGTGTGGCTAGTATACCCGCTCGACTTGTCTGCATGCTATTGATGGTCATCGCTGTAGGTTCCTGGCCATCTAGCTGACTCAGGCGAACCAGGTTGGCTCCCACAAGAACACGTAGGTCGTGTCGCTCCCTTTCTCGACGATCTTTCTCCCTGGCCGGATTGGTCGCAGCCAGTGCATATGGCATATGGCATGTGTTTGTGAGGTTGGTGGCCATCGCTAGCATGTTTGTGATCTGATCTTAGTCTGTTCAAGTCCACTTTTCTTCAAAGCGCCTTGCAGGCCCCTGGTTCTGGATGCGGACCTCACGGTGAACACAAGGCGGAGACTCGGAACCCTCCCCAACCCTCCCCACCGGTTCAAGCAAGTGCTAAGCATCGCACCCAAAGCCGATTGCTTTCATTGAAGTTCGTGAAAATAAAATCAAAGGCATCGTTGATGTCACCGCCTTCCCCCTCGAAGCCAGAGCCTGTATCTGGCAGCTTGTCCTGACCAAGTTGGGTCACTTGCTGCCGTGCAATTGCCGTGCGACTGTCCTTGAGCATTTGTGACAAATAGTAACGAAGGAAAAGACCACGGAGAGGATGCTGAACCTAGTTGGTTGGACTTGCAAACGAGCTCATGGTCTGACAGCGGCTCTCAATTCTCACTACGCCACAGACTTCTAGGAACCACACACCTTTGCAGAGTTCGTTCACATCTTTCAGGATCTCTTTGGCCGGAGCCTCTAGGGATTTGATATATGCAGCTGCCACTGTAGCCAGCAAGTAGAGCCGGGGCAAAATATTGCCAGCATGCTGCACCTCAGAAATCCACCAAAACAAAAACTTTCAGACGAAGAAGCTGTTCGCTTTAGGAATAAGCTACTAGGTGGAGGCCATCGGTTACCTTCAAAGTCTATCGCTTTCGCACTTTAGCTTTAACTTTAACCGAGGTACGGATTCGTAAAGATCGATCATCTTCTTCTTGTGGCGGTTCTTGTCGCCAAAAAATCCCGAGAGATGCTGCATTTCGTTGAAGACCTGATGGATGCTTTGACACCGGCAACGCCCAATCACATCATAATTCCTTTCGTGACGTGTTCTTGTCAAGCACAAACACTGCCCGCCACACATGCACTGGTCATTGGCAGCTGCAGTGGAACATGCGATGGGGAGCAGCTTGGATGTGTTTGGAAGCGGCGTAGGAATGTAAAATTAAATATCTCCACATACATCTCATGCGTGTTTGCTAAGCACATTAAGGGCTGATTGTTGCTAATGCAAAGCGTTTCTCAAACGAAGGGGTTCGATGGTGCACTTCTCATTTGAGTGTGTTACCCTCATTACTATGGAGGCCATCACTATTGGGTTGGAGGCCAACGCTACTAGGGTGCGAAGCGTGTAGAGGGTCCAAACTGGCGTAAAGTTGAGCCGAAGCGCGGCCACAACGTAATGGGATTATTCCTAATAGCTTCTTGCTCCTAGCAGTAAGGCCAGAAGCCCCTAGTAGCGTCCTTGTTCCTAGTAGCGATGCCAGGAGCCCCTAGTAGCTTCTTGTTCATAAGGATTGGATTTCTACAATCTTCCCATCCCATCTTGGGCCTCCTTAAACCGCCTTTGGACATCATTATTGCTCCGACCTAATTATTCGTGCGGGAAATACTACCAGTGGGGGCGGTCTCCAGCATGCGCGTGGACCTGAAAAAGATTTTGAACCATCAGGACCAGCGTGGACCCTCATAGTTGCAGTCATGCCAGAAACGAAGCATAGCAGCCATAGGCAGCAATCTGCACGGTATCAACAGCATGCTTCTTGCAGGCATGATAGGGAAAAGACAGGTTGGTTCTTTAGACCGAGGTTATTGTTTATGCTTTTATCGTTTAGACTCTAAACCTGTTTCTTGTGTAGGCATGTTTTAAAGACATTATGTTTCATGGTTTAAGCCTTTTTTTGTTGACCTTCACATGTGTGACGCCTTTTTTTCTTGTTTTCTTTAGACTTTTGTTAAGAACTGTCTTTTTCTTTAGACCTTTTCATGGACGGGAAAGAGCACATAGCTCTTACAGGAATTCTATTGCGTTGTCTGGAATTCCATCGGTGTCCCAAAACTGACCAGCGAGGAGATCGGAGCAAAAGTGCACTCGTGTCTCTTTGATTGTTCGCCCGCCTGCATGTAGAGCTCGAAATAGTTCTTAGGAGACAACAAAGAGGTGCGGAGCCTCAGAGCTAGAGCAGAGCAAAGAGGTTAAGGATGTACTGATGCGTAATGAGTGTACCGTACATGACGCAAAGCGCGAAAACATACACCCTCTTTCACGACACATTTCCAACAAAACTAGCAATGGCCTCCAACCTACTAGCCATGACCTCCAACCTACTAGCGATGACCTCCAACCTACTAGCAATGGCCTCCAACCTAGAAGCGATGGCCTCCAACCTACTGGTGATGGCCTCCAACCTACTAGTGATGGCCTCCAACCTACTAGCAATGGCCTCCAAGAGCAGTGGCCTCCAACCTAATAGCAATGGCCTCCAACCTAAGAGCGATGGCCTCCAACCTACTAGTGATGGCCTCCAACCTAAGATCGATGGCCTCCAACCTACTTGTGATGGCCCCCAACCTAAGAGTGATGGCCTCCAACCTAAGAGGATTTGCCTCCAACCAAAGAGCAGTGGCCTCCAACCTAATAGCAATGGCCTCCAACCGAAGAGCAATGGCCTCCAACCTAAGATCGTTGGCCTCCAACCTAATAGCAATGGCCTCCAACCTAAGAGCAACGGCCTCCAACCTAAGAGGGATGGCCTCCAACCTAGTAGTGATGGCCTCCAACCGAAGACCAATGGCCTCCAAACTAAGATCGTTGGCCTCCAACCTAATAGCTATGGCCTCCAACCTACTAGTGATGGCCTGCAACCTAATAGCAATGGCCTCCAGCCTAATAGCAATGGCCTCCAACCTAAGATCGATGGCCTCCAACCTAATAGCAATGGCCTCCAACCTAAAAGCGATGGCCTCCAACCTACTAGCAATAGCCTCCAACCTACTAGTGATGGCCTCCAACCTACTAGTGATGGCCTCCGTGATGGCCTCCAACCTACTAGTGATGGCCTCCAACCTACTAGCAATGGCCTCCAACCTACTAGTGATGGCCTCCAACCTAAGAGCGATGGCCTCCAACATACTAGCGATGACCTCCAACCTACTAGCGATGACCTCCAACCTACTAGCGATGGCCTCCACCCTAGAAGCGATGGCCTCCAACCTACTAGTGATGGCCTCCAACCTACTAGTGATGGCCTCCAACCTACTAGCAATGGCCTCCAACCTACTAGTGATGGCCTCCAATCGAAGAGCGATGGCCTCCAACCTACTAGCGATGACCTCCAACCTACTAGCGATGACCTCCAACCTACTGGCAATGGCCTCCAACCTAGAAGCGATGGCCTCCAACCTACTAGCGATGGCCTCCAACCTACTAGCGATGACCTCCAACCTACTAGCGATGACCTCCAACCTACTAGCAATGGCTTCCAACCTAGAAGCGATGGCCTCCAACCTACTAGTGATGGCCTCCAA